AGGTTCTATAGAAAAATTTATAAATTTCTCAATCTTTCGTTCACATAAACTTAATACTACATTGGCTAACCATATACCACCAATAACGATAATACTTATGGCTAAGATAAAATCATCATATATAGTGATACGTGGGATAATATTAATATTAATCAAAATCGAGAAAATAGATGAAATAACAATATATAAAGACACTAAAATAATAAATGCTACAGCAGTTTTCTTTTCATTTTTAATAAGCTTATTGATCCTCTTTAAATAAAATAAATATTCTTTGCACCTGTCAACCAGCTCATCATTTTCTAAGAGTTCATCGGATATCGGCAAGAACGTGGGCATGAATACCTTATCAGATGCAGCTTTTTTTGTAGCTTCAACCAATGAAATAATATTATCTTTGTTCGTCTTTAACTTTTCACCAATTGTTTTAAAAAGAACTAAAACCCCACCACTGGCAAGAACACTCGATGTCACAATGCGAAATATATTAGAGGCGAGATTTTTCAAAAAAATATAAAATAAAAAAGTGTAGTAAATAAGGACATCACGATATTTAATATTATTAAATATTTTCTCTTTTTATAACTTATTTCAGCCTTTTCCCATTCCTCTTTCAAACTCATAATTATGAATTTCTTCGCTTGCATAGTTTTGCCTGTATTTTTTTCACTCATCTCTTTTGCGTGTCTTTGATTTATTTTCACTCACTTCGAGATTATAATTCAAAAAGATTAAAAAAAGATAATTTTTAAGTTTAACCTAATGTTATTAAACAGTAATGAATTTCATTGTCATCGCTAATCTTTTATAAACAAAATCAATAGATTATGCTTATACAGTATACGCATGTACGGTGCAGGAAACCTAAAAAACCCCAATCAATTTGTGAAGATCAATTAACATATTGGTTAACATAGTGGAGATAAACCAAACTCAGCAGCGGCTTATTTTAAGTTTCAGCTGCATGTATGGAATACAGTAGTTGCTAATAAGTAAATAGTTTTCTTGGGCGTATTATTTCTATGTAAAGAAGTTGAGAATTTTAGATCCTTCACTTTATAGAGATCGAAATTTATTTTCAATGTGCTACCAGTTTATGCA